CTTTCACAACCAAAAACTTGACTATAACCATCTGAGGTGTCATTAGAAAAAACAAACTGTTCTGGGATAATGTGACAGCCACACCTGACTGGGAGGAGTTGGGAGGGGAGAAAAAGTAACATTTAACTTTCAAGAAGGAGAGCTAGGAAAATAGCTACAGAAGTGTGGAGAAAGAGGTACAAAGGCCCAGAGGTAGAAAGAAGCAAATTCCTGAAACAGAGACTAAGATAAGAAAACCTGTGTTCAGGAGAGATGAAGCTAGCCTGTGAGCACTACAACACACAGCTCAGTCTTCAGCTCCAAAGTCAGAAGTCGGCAAAAAGTTTCAAGCACATAGACAACAGTAGACCTGTTCTCTGTGTATCTATTATTATTATTATTAAAGACAGAGTCCCATTATGTAGCCTTGGCCTGTAACCCAAATGTAGACCAGGCTGGTTTTGAACTCAGAGATCACCTGCCTCTGCCTCCTGGGTGCTGGGATTAAAGGTGGTCCCATCTTGCTCAGCTGTTTTTGTTTGTGCTTTATTTATTTAATAAACTGTCTCTGGTTGCAGTCTGAGGAATGGCCTGGGAAGTGAGGGAGGAACTAGGAACAAGGCAACTGCAATTCTGGGATTGACACTGAGGGGGATGCCAACTAGAGGGCAGCCACTGAGATGGAGAAGCAGGTGGCTGCCAGACACTTAGCAAGTCACAAGACCCCAGAGTGAGTCAGCTCCTGGTACAAGGAGTTCGGCGATAGAGAGTGCTGCCGTTGGTAATCCGCACACCCTTACAAGAAGTGACCTTCTTCTAGGAATCCAACCCAGAGGAATAAATAATCAGACACGTGGACCAAACATACATTTAAAACTTGCAAGCAATCTACAGGCAGCTCATTTCCCCTGTTCAGTACAGACTGAACCTAGGGCCTAACATATGACAGGAAAGTACCTAGCTACATCTCCACCATCCCCCCTTTTTGAGGGCGGTGTAATCAATCTAAACATAGCAAACAGGAAAAAAATCTTAAATAAACTAAGATATTGTCATATGATGGAATATTATGGAGCCATTTAAACCTCCCATTTAATGTCAGAGTTGTTCCTCTGAATATGCTTTTTAAATACAATCTGTTAGTTAGGTCAGGCTGGAGAGATGGCTGGGTGGTTAAGAGCACTGGCTGCTCTTCCAGAGGTCCTGGGTATGATTCCCAGCCCCACATGACAGCTCACACTGGTCTGTAACTCTACTTCCAGGGAATCTGATGTTCTGCCTGCCATTGGCACCAGGCACACATGTGGTACACAGACACACATGAATGCTAAGCACCCATATACATAAAACAAAGTTTATTTTAAAAAATACACACAGGATTTACTGAAGGCAGGGAAGGCAGAAGGATTATGAGTTCAAGGCCAGCCTGGTCTATGGACTGAGCTCCAGGACAGCCTGAGCTTCACAAGGAGACCTGTCTCAAGAAACAAACAACATAATAAGGTATCTTTAATTTTCTGTGGCCTTTCTACTTTTTCCAATTATTTTTTACACAGACACCATACTTTCACTTTGAAAGTATTTCTTTTATTTTTTAAGTGATATTTGCTGAATGCCAACTATGTATGCATTATTCTAAATGTGTTGTGTGCATAAGGGTTTCCTTTTTTTTTTTTTTTTTTTTCCCGAGACAGGATCTCACAATGTAGACCTGGCTGGCCTAGAACACACTGTGTAGAGCAGGCTGGCCTTGAACTCACAGAGATCTACCTTCTAAGTGCTGGGAGTAAAGGCACACACCACCACACCTGGAAAAATCATTTAGCTTTGAAAATATTTCAACCATACATAAAAGTTAATTGATCTTTTCAGGGTCACACAGTCAGCCAAAATCTGAACAATTCTTTTATGCCCTAATCCTATGCTGTCTGAGGGAACATATATACTCAAAAGACATAATGTATGTTTTTTAAAAGTTATTTATGTGTGTGTGTGTGTGTAAGTCAGGGGGTGACTTTTTTCCTTCCATCACTACATTCCCAGGGACAGAACTCAGGACAGGCAATGCTTTACTCCTGAGCCATTACATCATCCCAAAGAAATAATTTCTTACAAGAAGTAAAGTTATCAGTATAACCTTTTCGTAAGCTATACACCTCACAAGAGCCTAAACTCTAGAATATAAGGGACTCTTTCAACTCAACAACTGAAGCCTCCATTAGGAAACAAACAAAAAGACATGAAGACACATTGCTATGGGCTAATGCAACCACAAAAAAGACACCTGACGTCATCAGTCATTAGAACAAGGCCAATCAGAACCACAATGGAGTATGTCCTCACTCATACCAGCATGGGTACAACTGAGAAGAGAGGGAAGGCACGAGGTGGAAAGTGCTTGCAAGGAGGAGGAAAAACTGGAACCTGCCGCATATACCTGGTAGGAATGCAGAATGGTATGAGCGTTTGGACAATTCCACAAAAAGTTAGGAAGCATACCACGTGACTCGGTGCACTACATATTCATGAGGAATAAAAACATAGCTCTACTTCAAATCTGCAATCAAATGTCCATGGAAGTATTATCATAATAGCAAAACAAAAACAAACAAAACCCCACCCAAACAAATAAAAAAACAAACCTTGCATTCCCATCTACTGCTGAGTAAACAAGAAGCAAGATATACATATTGCTATCTACAGAATATCATTTGGTAATAAAGATAAATGAGGTGCTGTTACACACGAGTTGAGTACCCCTTATCTGAAATGTCGGGGATCAGAAATGGTTCAGCTTTTATTTCTAATTTTTCTGGATTTTGGAATATTTACATATACAGAATATGCTATCTTGTGGATTGAACCCAAAACTACTATGAAATTCACTTTTTCATATCTTCCTTAGACACATTGGCTACAAGTGGTATTACTACACAATTTTAGACTAAACGTTGGTTAAACATTTTGCCTTGTGAGATCAAGTATGGAATGTTCCCGTGGCATTGTGCTGTGGTGTTTAAAAATTCAGGCCCATTCCTATATGGATGATCCCTGAAAAAGAGGCTGTGAAAGAAAGCAGACAGAGGGAACAGGACTCCTGTGCCTGTTATGATGACATCCTAAATGTACGGTTAGACAGAGGAAGCAGGCTGCTGCTCGGGCTGACTGCCTGAAGAGCACTCACTGGTCTTCATTGTGGGAAAATGGAAACATTCTGAGTCAGACAGTGGGTGTACAGCCTGTGAAAACATTAACCACCATTTCATTAGATACTTTTGAATGGCTAAAGCTACATTTTATGCTATGAGACTTTTATTTCAATTGTTAAAAAAAGATTAAGCTACCTTTAGTAAAAACTCAGGGTGATTCTCACAACTGCAGAGAGGCTTTTAAAAGCTCCTTTTAGGCTTAGGTTATTTCCTTGAAAATATCAAATTGCCAGGATTCCTGTGCGGGAACAATCCTAGCACCCTAGGGAGGAGGTGAGTAGATTAAGGCACAGAATTTAGGTAAATCCAGTTCAATGAGCAAACGCTAGAGACCAGAAGTAGTGTGGTGTCTGGAGTCTAAGAAGAATGTGAAAATACCACATTCTGTATTTCTCTTCAAGTCAGTAACAGACACTTCAGTGAATGGCAAAAGGAAAACATGTAATCGGATTTTAAGTTATTGCACTGGTCTAGCATTTCATTTAAAAATAACTGGACAACCAAGTCTGTGGTTAGAATAAGACGCCAAATTAGAGTAATTCCGTTGTCTGTGTCGGGAGTCCAAAATGGCTCAAGACACCAAAAGCAAATTGCAGGACATATCCTGTAAGGTGAAGGTGAGAGAAAGGAGCTCGGAGCTGCTAGAAGGGAACTGGGAAATGTTTTGCTTTGCTTAGGCGATGAATAGGTCTTCAAAGACTACTCCGCAATGCACACCGTGTTTCTACAGGACCAGTTACTCATTCTGAAATGCAAGTTAGAGACCAGACCAGGGCTATGAACACCTTAAGATCAGAAACATACCATGTCTGTTCTTTAAAATAAAGATGCTTTAGAGATAATGATAATCACTTTATCTGACATCAGGGCAAAAATGTCAAAATTTTCAAAGTGTTCTGAAAAAAAAAAAAAAAAAGAAAAAGGCAAAAAGCACAATCATCATCTGTTGATACTAAGGAAAGCAAAACAAGAAAAATAAAAACAAAAATAGCACATTGCAGCATGTACCAGTAGCCTCAGTTATACAGAATGGCCTCGGTAGGTGAAGACCAGCCTGTTGACAAGGAGAGGCCTTGCTTTTTTTGTTTGAGAGAGGGTTTCTCTGAGTAGTAGCCCTGGCTGTCCTCAAACTCAGAGATCTGCCTGCCTCTGCCTCCTGAGTTCGGGGAAGTAAAGGCAAGAGCCACCACCACCTGGTTTGTTCTATCTTTTTAAAGGTGGGAGCAGAGGTATAGTTCAACATTGCTCACTTGCACAGAAACACGCAGCACAAACAGCTTTACATACATTTCATGTTTCCACAGTAAAAGTAAAAAGTAAAAGATAAAATTATAGCTAAGACTAAGTGTTATAAATAGCCTGGAGCCATACATGTAGGAATGTGTTCCAGATGAATCGTAAGAGGAAAGGACTATGACATCGTATTCTTGGATATTATTGTATTACTACACTGTAATTCTATATTATTATAGTATTGCTATTTTTTTCAGTTGAACAGGGCACAAGTAATACATTATTTATTGTTTCCCATGCTTAATCAGCCACAATGATGTCTAGAAGTATGTGGGATACATGAATAAACAGATTTGCATTTTGTGTGGGTGTTTAAATCAATTGTTTGAATAAGGGGGAAAAAAACCTGTATAAGGCCAAACTATTTTCCCGTGCTTTCTTAATAAGTTTCCTATCCATATAGTGGCTGGTTAGAGGGTTTGGGATTAGACATGAAGGACTGTCTAGAGATGGGGTCAGACTTCTGAGAGTGTGGGTGTGCCACTGCGGGGCGGGGCTGCCGCGGTGACAGCTTACTACCTGTATCTATGCTTCTCAGACCCATTCTGAATCGGATCTGCTTGCCCTGCAGGACCTTCGAAAGGTGTTCTGCAGTCCAGTGTTGTGCGGGCCAATCAGAAACCATGTTACAGAAGACGGCAGGCTGCTGTAAAGACATTATAATTTCTTTTGCTTTCTCTGGCGTGAAAGGTTTGATGCATTCACCTAGGGAGAGAGAAGAATAGGGCATTAGAAAATAATGGACAGATAACTATGTAGTTATTTCCTATGGTACCAGGAGAGGATGGCTAATGCTGTTTCTGTTCTGGCAAATCTTTCCATGCAATTGCACTCCATTTATCACTGATTAGGTACATATTTGGCCTGTGTTTCCCTGTGTAGCTTAGGAGCCTGTCCAGGAACTAGTTCTTGTAGACCAAGCTGTTCTCGAACTCACAGAGATCTGCCTGCTTCTGCCTCCCAAGTGCTGGGATTAAAGGCATGTGATATCACTGCCCAGCACATAATTCTTTTTTTAAGTGATTTTTTTCATATTAATTGGTAAGTATAATTTTCAATGCTAACAGTAAAGTTTTAGCTTTTTAAAGGCTTTCTACCTAATTTTAAAACAATGAAAATTTTGGAACATAACACTTCTTAAATAGAAGGCCAGGTAAAAAATGCTGATGACATTTACTCTAGAACAGCCAATTGTCAGTGACTGTACCTGTTATATGACATGTTTAATGCAAAAAAAACAAAACAAAACAAAACAAAACAAAAAACCAAAACGACTACACTGTAGTAGTTAATCAGGAAGATAGAGGTCGCTTTCTATCACAGTTCCTACAATAAAAGATACAGCTTAGATGGTGTCACATTACTAAAACCCCAGCACTGGGGAGCTGCGGCAAAGGGATCAGGAGAGTGAGCCCAGCCTGGGCTACATAGTTAAGTTCCAGGACAGCCTGAGTAACTCAAATGTCAGAGTCTGGTCTGGAGATACAGTTCAATTGGTACAGTGCCTGCCTAGCATTTTCTTCTATAGCTGCCCCCCATCCCTCAGCCATGTGTAGTGAACATGATTATAATCCTAGTACTCTGGAGGTAGAAGCAGGAGAGTCAGAGGTTCAAGGCCACCCTTGGCTACACAGAGTGTTTGAAACCAGCTTGAACTATGTAAGACTGTCAGAAAATTACAGAATTTTAGTTTTGGGAAGGATAGTCTGCTATCTCTCATTTATTCTATCCTCCCTCTCCGTCCACCCATCCATCTTCCTTTTCCCTCTCTCCTTTTCCCTCTCTGTTCTTCTTTCTTCCTTCCCAGGGCTGTTCCAGCTGGGAGGGTCTCTTTAAAGATACCCTAATATGGACAGCCAGGACAGAGTCACACTCTGACTCTTAGACATCTCTTTATGATTCCCAAAATCTCTCACGAAGAGTCCCAAGTCTTTTGCCACTCAACCTTCTAAGCTAATAAAGAAACAGGCGATGGGAAGCTCAGGTAATGTGTGCCTGTCCCACTGGCTGTCCTGGAACTCTCACCATGTCTGGCCTTGAGATCACAGAGACCCTCCTGTAAGGCTCATTTTTAAGACAATGAAAACTTGGTTTTGCTCCTTTTCAGGGAGGTCCACACTGTAGAATCTGTCTCTACACCCTTGGTGACAGAGGTGAACAGGCTCCCAGCCCTTAGCAGCTAACACCTACGAACCTTGACCACTGCAAGGGATGCATCAGAGTGGGTGTTGGAGGAAAGGCTGAAAGCTAAGGCCAGGAGTAAAGCATCTGTCTTTACCTTCAGCTGGTTGTTTTTGTTGGGAACTTTATATACAGACACAGAGCAGAGGGTCCCACTTTCCCCTAAGGATCGATGGATGGGTGTGGAAATACTACTGAGAAAATTAATTTTGAGTTAGGTCTTTATCATAAGCAACATTCAAAATGTTTTAAATGAGCAAAGCTACAGGCAATGGTCAATCTGCTCTTTATTGATATCTGATAGACTCTTCATTTGTATTCTTTTGCCTTAAAGAGGGTGCTGTAAATAGATCCAGCTGTCTCCTTTCGGGGGCTACCAGCTAGACTGTCATCAGGACAGGCAGGCCACTTGACCACACCTCAGTCACTTCAAGAACACTCCAATCCAGTTGCAAGGAACACGATAGCTACCAATGCCACTAAAGTCACAACTACTTCAGCTACAGACAAACTTGCCCTGGGTTTAGACTTCACTTCAGCCATGACAAGCCTCAATGAACTCTAAATGGCCCCACCTATCCTGTAGCAAGTCTCACCCAGGACAGGAGAGGAGGGCACAGTGACTCAGCAATGAATTTGTCTTTAATGTGTATGTGACTCCATGGATGGTGTGGTCTACACAAAAACACAGTTTTCTACTAAAATGGAATAAGAGAGTTTATTCTGGAGTCAAATATGACCATGGCCCAGGAATAGATTCAGGCTGCCCCAAACGCCATGCTCCATTGTAGAAGTGGTTACATAGTTACATAACATCTTATTAGTTACAGAACAAAGCCTTTTGGTCCAGTGACATGAGCAGACAACATTATGAACACACAGATGGATTACTGGGTTTAGCCCTAGGTATGCCATTGCAGCTGCAGCCAGAAGGTAACTAGAGAGTGGCTCTTGAGGTTGTAAGTCCTCCAGCTTCCCAATGCTATAAGTCCTCAGCTCACACAGCAGCTTAAAGGAGGCTGGAGTGTTATAGTGAGCCGCCCTCAGTTAAGGGATGAGAGAGCAGATGCCTAAAGCCTAAAGCTGTTAAGACTGCTCAGTGTTGAACTACTTAGCATTCAGAACCCACAGCAATGGGGACCTGACTTGAACATGTAGGGCTGAAAGGATAGAGCTATAACCCTTAGCTCTCAAGGTCTACAGCTTTGGAGGTGCAGACCAGTAAGGTCTGACTGAGGATCTCAGAGTCTAGATCTACACACCTCTACACTCAAATGCCTTTAACCTAAAAAGTCAATAGGCCAAAGTGGCATGTTTTCATCCCTCACAATAGAAAAAGACAATGGGGTGAGGTGTGTATCAGTGGTAGACTGTTTGCCGAGTGTGAGATAGACCATGGGCTCAGTGCTCAACAGTAAAAACAGGAAGATCCCAGGATGCAAGAGGACCTTTCTGAGTTCCAGGCCAGCTAGGAGTGCACAGTGAGACCCTTTTCAAACAACAATATATTTATACTCTATGCTTATACACATAAATTAGAACCATGCTTTGGGAAATAATTGGGGAAATGACACCAGTCTCAAAGAACCATCCATTATCTCTCAATAATTCAAATATCTTATCGTATAGAAATTACTAACAAAATAATCATAAGCTTCATATATATGCATATGTATGTTATATACATATATAACATACACAAATTAATACCACTACAACAGCTAAAAGTGTGGATACTTAATGTTCCCCAAATACTAAATTATTATGACAAAGTAACCACATGGCATATTACTATAATAAAAATAAGAGCTATGTGGAAAATTATAAAAATGTGAGGTGGCTGAGGAGAGTAGGGCTGAACTGACATACAGTTATCACAAAAGCCACTGAGAAACACAACGTCTAAACAGCAAAAGGTGTCAGTGAGGAAGACGGTGACCGCAGAGTCGGAGAAATACCAACGACAGCAAAGACCAGAAGGCAGCAGACTGGGGCTTCTAGACTAGTGACGGGTCACAAAGAGAAGTCACATGCAGCCACTTGTCTTGTTGGGAAGAGGAAGAATGTTGTTTTGAACACCATCATCATCAGAATCTCATATTTACAGTGTCCATCTGCTCCTCTAAGAGGCCTATAAAACACTGAGAAGATATTTTATTTCCATAATCAAAGGATAAAATGGAAACTCAGGTGTCAAATGAACTAGACAATGACAAATAAACTAATCAAGCCTGATTTGTAAGTGTAATGTTCTTCACACTGCACAATCCTACTTTCAGAGAATGGAAACTGTGGAAGGGAGGGGAAAAGGGAGGAGGGAGGAAAAGAGGAAGAGAGGCAGGGAGAGAGGGAGAAAGAGAGAGAGGAAGAGAGAGAGAGAGAGAGAGAGAGAGAGAGAGAGAGAGAGAGAGCGTGAAAGTCCTAGTCTGCTTTCTATCACTGTAATAAACACCATGTCCAAAAGCAACCTGGAAAGGAAAGGGTTTATTTTGCTTACACAGTTCATCATTGAGGGAAGTTGGGGCTAGAACTCTAGACAGGAAACTGGAAGAAGGGACTGGCGCAGAGGCCATGGAAGTGCTGCTCACTGGCTTGCTCTGTCTGCTCTTATATAACCCAGGACCACCTGCCCAGGGGCGGCTTTACCTATAGTGGGCAAGGCCCTCCCCCACACCAACCATTAACCAAGAATATCCTACACATTTACCTACAGGCTAATCTGATGGAGGCATTTTCTCAATTGAAGTTCCCTCTTTTCTGATGAATCTAGCTTGTGTCAGGCTGACAAGACACTAGCCAGCACAGAGAGTATGACCTGAAAAGATGCAGGTCCAGGAAATCTCAAGATCAATTCAAGGCAATAATTCAAGCATATTTTGGGGAGAGAGGAATGTCTGGGGAAACATGGAGGAGGGGTATGTTACATCTTCAGTAGAAACCACTAGTTCTCTGCCTACTCAGTATCCACTCTCTTCTTCCCGAAGTTTTAATTTTCCTCTTCACTACTTGGCACTGAACCCAGGTCCCCACAGACCTAGGCAAGCACTCCACCACTGAGCTATATTGACACCCAACCTTCCTTATCAACAGACCTCTGTGAGAGGGGCAATGGCTATATAATTCTCTTAGACTCTTTTGCAGACAAGAGCAGACAAAGATTTGTGTGTGTGTGTGTGTGTGTGTGTGCACCCATGTGTGAGGGAATACACACACACACACACACACACACACACAGACACCGGTGTTCACATATATGTATGAATAGGTATGAAAGTTCCTGAGTCAGCATTTGAAAAACAGACTTAACAGCCAGCATGAGAAACAAAATTGAAACAAAAGCATGGGAAACCAAAGAAAATTGCAAAATTCACCAAAAGAAAGCAAGATAGTTACCTCTGTGCCACTTCCCCAGCACAGGAAACTTCTACCACGGAAGTGTTTTCTGTAAGAAAACAAACCTCACAGTCAAGACTCCATTGTCATTAATAGTTGCTAACTGAGGAATCCTTTGCTGTCTCCTCAGG